TATTTGCCAAGCTGGCTTATCTAAAATATATTTGTTCTCTTGACTAATCATGTAAAACATGGAAACTCACAGGTTGGCCTGATCTAAATGCAAGAACGACCTCAACAAATGACAGCAAAGTCTATTCTATGTAACAATGAAAATTACGAACTACTAAAAGCTAGTTTGAATAAACCCTGAAACAGGAAGTGAATGCTTGTTCAACAAGAGAAACACATCAATCTTGGGACTGACAGGTGTCAATCATCATGAAACAATACATGACTGCATTTCTAAAGTAGCAATACATTTAATTTCATACCCTTAATATCGTGTAAAAACACTTATGACTGCATTTATGAAATAGCAATATATTTAATTTCATATCCTTAATATTGTAAAAACACTATGACTGCATTTCTGAAGTAGCAATACATTTAATTTCATACCCTTAATATTGTAAAAACACTTATGACTGCATTTATGAAGTAGCAATATATTTAATTTCATACCCTTAATATTGTAAAAACACTTATGACTGCATTTCTGAAGTAGCAATACATTTAATTTCATACCCTTAATATTGTAAAAACACTCTTTTACCAAAAAGGAAAGGGATAACATTCATCACGTTTTTCTGTGTTTTTTCGTTGTATTTGCTAGCACCAAGTATAAATGTCAAACAGGGTCAAAACAAGAAAATCCTGAGATGTTTTTGTCAATAACATGAGACAAGCAAAAGTTGGAATGCTGAAAACAGATGAACACTTTCCACTGAAGTAGAGTTTGTTCTGTATGGTAATATTTCTAATTAAAGCTTTGCTGGAATAAAAACCATCAACATCAAACATGGAATGTGTTTTGGTGCATGATATGGCACATCAAATGTTTGTGTAAAAACCATGGGAATTATCAGACAGATGTTTGAGTGAGAGATGTTGAGAGATGAAGTTATACTTGGATAAGCAAGAACAATATAACAGTGGAATGAGGGCTAAAAAATCAATATTAAATATAGCAGCATCAATACCAGCTATAATTAAAGTGGTTGCAACGATAATTGGAAAAATACATGATATGCATAACAGTTTGCTTAATGCACAATCAATATTGCTGATATGTGGGACTTATACTACTTTAATAAAATATAGGACTACCGATGCTTTCATGTTACTATAGTTACAGGTGATCTGTCTTGGCATGATACTACTACAGACACAACAAACTAATTATAGTAATATGACACAATCAGGCGGTTCTTAAAGTTTTAAAAATATTTCTGGCTTAGAGTTTTATAGTGACATAACAATAAACTTATAATACATCCACATTTTTTAAAAATAACTTGTACACCTATATATTTTAAAGAAATATGTTGCCTGCTACGTCACATTGTCTTAAAATTTCGATAAAATCTAACATGAAATTTATTGTAGGCTTGGCAACAGCAAGAATTGATAATAGTAGTTTCAATGAATGTTTGTGAAATATATTGAGGATACAAATGACATAAAGTATATATACGGTGTAACAAAAGAATTAAGATATGAACAGAAAATATAATCCACTTTGATATATACCTAGTTAAAGAGGATGTATCCAAAATGCCTGCAATTTGTAGTGTAACAAACACATAACGAAATCATTACCACTGACCTTGTATCACATTGTTACGACTGGCACTATTTATTGATGTATCACTGGTGTGTAAACTATTTTGTATCACAATCACTCTTAAACAAAATGACATAGTAAAATAATTATATTCTGTGTTAAAATTTACAAAAATAGCTATAACAGGAACTGGTATATAATTGATGTCATACAAAACATACTGAACCAACATGGTGATATACCGGTATATAACTGATGTCATACAAAACATACTGAACCAACATGGTGATATACCGGTATATAACTGATGTCATACAAAACATACTGAACCAACATGGTGATATACCAAAACATACCACCGTGACTTAATTATTTATCGGACACTGTGTCAGGCGACCTAAAATTTTACCGGTCATGAATGAAATTTGCCGGTCGTATCCTATTGCCATACTGTAAGTACTCACTTTAAAGTTCTTTTTAGTCTGGGTATTTCCGAAACATAATAATTTTTGCGACCATGAAAGCACAGCCAAGACTGTCATTTCGCTTACCCATGATGTTTTTATTTTAATACATGATTATTTACCGGACACAGTGTCCGGCTGGGTTTCAATTTACCGGTCCCCAACAAATTTTACCGGTGATTTTCAGGTATATACCGGAGAACGGAAACACTGCATACTGAACCAACATGGTGATATACTGGTATATAACTGATTCATACAAAACATACTGAACCAACATGGTGATATACCGGTATATAACAAAGCTGTATTCTTTAACAAGCCATTATCGGTAACAAGTAACAGTGTAGTATTCGATGCTATAATAGACAACAAGCTATCATAGGTAACAAGTATGCAGTATGCAGGGATCGAGTTAAGTATTAAGAACTTGCACTCGTGCAACCTGAAACTGAAAAATGCAACCTCATATCTATATCCACTTGCACACAGTGCATGTTAATATTTTGTAGTTCAAAGAACACAGACTTCAGCTGGAAAACAGAATGATGAGTAACTGGCTTGGAACAGTGACTCTGATGACTGTATGAACAGTGACTCTGATGACTGTATGAGCAGTGACTGAAGGACTTCCTGTTCATGAAATTTTAGGAAGTAGATAACTGACATTATTGGACCAGATTCATTTTTGGTTAGAATAATGTTCCAAGCCTTCATTACCAAAACTCAAGCATTATATAAGATTTTACACTGAGCAGTAGATGCAACCTGTTTTTGTTTGAACTGAGTGCAAGTAGGTTTCATTTCCTTAAATCGAGCCCTGCATTCTGGCATATAATGCCATTATACACACTCTAAGAATCCTGGGCCCTGTTCCTCAATGCGATCGTATCGCTACGACTGCCGTAAGTCTATGTTAAAGTATGGGAGTTATGATCACCTTAGCGCTATGATCGCTTTGTGAAACCGGGCCCAGCATCTCACAACAAACATTCAGCATTGCTGTGTATCAACATATATGGCTGAAGCCAATGTAACAATGGACATACAGCTAATTTTTGTTATGGTAAGCTGACCATTAACACATACTAAAGCAACACTAATTGGCCCTTCTCACTTTATAATGTATGATTCTCAAATCTTGGTCACTTAGGCAAGACTACAGAATTCCAGATACCTTCTGCCATCTTTGAAAGCACGCAAATTTACTTTTGGTTTAGGTAAGGGTTAGGGTTAGGGTTAGGGTGACGTGACACTAAACAATATGGCTGGTAGGTCAGGGCTCGATTTATGAGAGGTTACCCTACTTGCACATGGTGCAACCTAAGAAAAATCCTAGCTGCACCAACCAAATTCCAGTTGCAACATAGTGTGTTAAAACGTCAGAGGTTTCGGTGCACATAAACATTTCCGTGATGTAGTACCTATGAAACCATAGCAACACAGAGACACAGCTGATCCGTTTGCAAGAGCTGTAATAGCCGAAATGTGTATATGAATAGCAATATCTCAATGCCATAGCTATTCAAAGTTTAAAAGAAAAATGAGCTGCCATATTTATGCTTAGTATGTAAGATTTAGTGTTGATTTATTTCTCAAAAATTGACTTGCACCTTGTGCAAGATAAGACTCATAACTGGGTTGCACTTTGTAATATTACATTGCACCAGAGCAAGTAACAAAGCACTAATTAAGCCCTGTAAGGTATCTGGTAATCTGTAGGTGTACCATCACTTAAACTGAACATGCATGAGATGTGAAATTGATATGGTATCATTCACAGATTCGGTTCTTGACTGAGTCCAATACAATCTAAAAATAGGTCTAATGAATGACTCCATCATAATGCCCCTGAATCAGTTTGATTGTTAAATGAATATAAGTGGCTAAAATGGCTTTAAAAAGAAGTAAAAAAAGGTAAATAAAGTCTGACAAATCTTAATGTCAATAGGTAGCACTAATAATTTCATTGACAAACTGTCTCCACACCTCTGACCTAGGGAAACAATAGAACCAGTGGAGAATTATGCATAAGCACACAACAAACATGTTTGTGAGAAAGTCATTTCTTGTAAAAACATATCATCAAACATGACTTGACATTTAATTTCTCTGTGTGAACTGTCATCTTACTACCATGACAGAATGTTGAGATCTGACTGGCTCACATGACAAAACGCTATGTGTTCTAAAAGATGAGAATTTCGAGATAACTTCTTTATTATGAGGAACACAACGTCTAGGAGAAAGAAAATACCATGAAAGGTTGTGTTCCTCGGAGGTGTGGTGGGCGAACTGTCTAAAGCGCCAGGCTAGTGATCCAGCGAGCTTGAGGTGACTGGATCGAGCCCACCTGTGACAGGGTGTAAAAACCTTGGAGTCAACTTCGTGTGCAGACTCTTTCAGTGTTGTCACAACCCCTAGTGTACAGTACACAACCCTGTGCACTTAAAAGAACCCACAAATCCGTTGGTATATCACTAGATGGTGGCTACATGAATACGTGCAAACACCTAGTTGAGGGTACAGCAACGTGCAGTAAACTTGGACAAAGTTCTATGACTATGTGTCCCAGTCCACCCAGCTGTGAATGAGTACCTTGTAAGGATGGGAAAGCCACATTAACTTGCTGCGTCTATTGGCTGCAAGAGTTGTATGATCCCCAGGGAGTTGAGATGGAAAATATGAAGCACCACTGAGATTGGCATCCAATGTTCGAGGGGATAAACAAAGAGCCTTTGAGCAGCTGAGCTGGATATCGGTGCTGTACAAATGTTAGTATGTATCAGTGTTAGAAATAAGCCAAGATCCAGCCAGACATCAGGGCTGGTAACATTTTGAAGTTAAAAGGATTTAACCAGACCAAATATGGTGAATTTACTCAGATGTATGGAACATCTGAAATTTTTAGCAGACCATCGGGCTGGCTATCTGTAAATTTAGACCATCCGTCAGAAATCTAGACCATCTCGGGTGGTCAGGATGGGCCTTATTTCATACACTGTATGTATGTATGATAATATAGAAGTTATCTATCAATTCTCATCTTTTATGTTTATCATTTCTAAATGCCATTCAAAGACGCTATGTAGTCTTCTTGGGAGGGAATAAAGTTCAGAGCTGGAGAATACATCTCTTATACCCTGCCACCAAGGAAGCACAAGCTGCACATTGATTTCTCATGGAGAGAACATGTCTCTTGCACCCTTCAACAAAGCAAAAAGCTGGGTGCTGTTTATGAGTGAATGAATATCACATGGCTAACAACACCAGCTCAATCAAACAGCTATCTTCTATTATTTTCAATTTGTTTTGATTCGTTTACAATGGCAGATTGAATCATACTGGCAAGATAACTTCACTGTAGCAGTATCACAATTTTTATATGTACTTTTCACTTGGGAAGCATAAAAATAAGTAAATACCCATCACAATGGTGCTACAACTGTACTCACCAACTGATCACTCTCAGGAAAGTTACCAATAATTGTCTTGTGGCCTGAGGTAGATGTGATATTTGGCATTCTTATATCTTGCAAAAGCAGTGGAATGATTTTTAACTAAAGTCATTAACATTGATTGTAAAACCAGGTTTTGTGTGACTTCAGGAAGGCAAGCTAAAAAAGTAATAAAACTTGGAAATCTGATCTTGCAGTGGTCCTAATTTTCTTCAGTTTTCCTCTTCCTCCATCTCCACAGTGGGTTCCTCAGACACTTTCCTGAGCATCTTGCTAAACTGTGGCTTCAGTGCCAACATCAACTTCAGTTTCTGAAACATACCAAAGTGTCAATGACAGTCATCTTGTCTCAAGAAGATTAGATGACCATTCATACCCCAGGGATAGAGTTTCTGTGAATGTTCAGGTAGTCTAGACTCATTCTCAATCATTTTTGATTACGTTATTGAATATTCACACTGGTAATGACGTCTACAACCGTTCACAATTCAACAATTCTCCTTACAAAATATGGACATATCCTATCAGTGAAAGATGTATTGTATGTAACATAAAAGTATTCCACAAACAAGAAATAAACTTGACTTCGAACTTCCTCCTGGAGAGACCCGTGAAGATCTGGGGTAGAATAGGTCTTCAGCAACCCATGTGGTTGCCATAAAAGGCGACTATGCTTGTCGTAAGAGGCGACTAACGGGATCGGGTGGTCAGGCTCGCTGACTTGGTTGACACATGTCATTGGTTCCCAATTGCGCAGATCGATGCTCATGCTGTTGATCACTGGATTGTCTGGTCCAGACTCGATTATTTACAGACCGCCGCCATATAGCTGGGATATTGCTGAGTGCGGCGTTAAACTAAACTCACTCACTCCTCCTGGAGATAAATATATGCATATGTATATGTAAAACCAGCGCAAAAACATAACAACACACTATAAAAGTTTTCCAATTATGTTTTATATTGTGTTTGGTTTTGTTTCTTTTTTGTTTAATGCCACACTCAGCAATATTCCTGGGCCTAGATTTACGAAGCTGTCGAAGCTAAGATAGTCATAAGTGCCATACATGCCATACATAACCAGGGATAAGACAACTAGTACTCCATATCTCCACAAGTATCAGACCTGGGGGTTCTGGTCATGTCTATACAATAGTGTTGGGAATTGGTTAAAATCTCATAATTGATGATTGGTTCATTACAACCGATCAAACATCGAAAATATTTGGTTAGCGTCATTTATGAAATGTGTTAATGCACACAAAAATAAGGAAAAAACCATGTAGTTCTTTGGGTTTTGGGGCAAAATTTCACATCTTTAAAGGATGATTAGTATGGAGACACATAAATTTCTTAGAGTCTTTAAGATAAATTCAATCATGACTTGGAACGAGCTTGTTGTGCTTATGAAATGTAACAGACAAAACCAACCTAGTGAAAAATACTGTTAATGAAAACAAGTGTTCCAGAATTGTTTGTGTTCGATTATGAGAAAACATGATCGATTGCTTGGTCGTTTAGTCAGTGCGATCAATCTTCGATTATTTCAATTAATCGGACCACCACTGCTATACAAGCAGTCTCACCTCGTCGTTGTACTGGAAGATTCGGCCGTCAACTTTAGGGGCCAGGTAGCACTGTTCAGCCTCCGCCTCATGGATGCTCTGCTGTCTCACCAGGGGATAGGGTCTGTCTACCTGGTCCATGCTAGCCTGTCTCACCATGCTGGTTTTCCTGGACACCACAAACACGTACCACATGCCTTAAACATTGCATGACTTCTGTCACTCATTATGTTTGAATCAAAGATGCCACATTCAATAACACCCAGTACAGACAGTCTGGGACTTCAGCCACTTGTCTGAAACACCGGGCTGGGCTTGTAAACTGAAAACTTTTGGCCCAGACTCCACATACTAGTATATTAATTCAGAGAGCTAGAGTCTAAGAAAGATTGTTTTCAGACCTACCATGGCCTACATTGACTAAATGTTGCACTGACAGTGAGTGAATGTGTGTGGTTTTACGCCGCTTTTAGCAATATTCCTGCAATATCACGGCGGAGGACACCAGAAATGAGCTTCACATATTGTACCCATGTGGGGAATCGAACCCGGGTCCTCGACATGACGAACTAACGCTTTAACCACTTGGCTACCCCGTAGCCCCTTTCACTGATAGAGGCATTTAACGGAGGTTCAGATATGAAAAGCAGTATACTTTTAATGGATGCCAACTTCTGAATCTAATATGATGCTACCTTTACTTAAGAGTGCTTAACAATGGCATAAGGATCCAAAGGTTAGCTGACGCGACCTTCTACTAGGTTTTGTTAGACTCAGTATAGCAGTGTAACGAATAATACTGAGCCAAAGTTTACATAGACTGCTTTCCGCCCAGCCATTTTTGATTAAGCCTAGGACCTGTATTTCTTCCAGCTTCCCACCCATATGCCATCATATAACTGGATTACTTTTCAAGGCTGTGTTGAACCCAATCCATTGGCTCAATGTATTTCTAGCATGAGACAGATCTGAACTGTACATACCGAGCTAGACACAACAAACTCTGTCTGTGCCCGGACTTGCATGGTTTCTGCCCCCTATGGATCTTCACTGAGTCAAAGTGGTTGTTGACGGTCGTCGATAGAGACTGGCACTGCTCGGCTGACACCTACAGGTTATACACATAATGAACAAACTGCGACTCACAGAAAGTGATGTCATCATTTAAAGGGTCATTTAAGCTAGTTCCAGAGTGAGTGAGTGAGTGAGTGAGTACACCCCATAGTATTGCAGTGGTAAGGGTTCGTCACATGCCATATATTACTAACGAGTGAGTGAGTGAGTTTAGTATTATGCCACGCTCAGTAATATTCCAGCTATATGGCGGTCTGTAAATAATCAAGTCTGGACCAGACAATCCAGTGATCAACATCAAGAGCATCGTTCTATGCAATTGGGATGTGATGACACATGTAAACCAAGTCAGCGAGCCTGACCACCCTATCCCTTAATCAATTTATATGACCAGCATGGGTTACTGAAGGTATGTGTTAGAACTGATCCTCAGTAACCCATGCTGGTCCAGACTCGATTATTACAGACTACCGTCATATAGCTGGAATATTGCTTAGTGTGGTGTTAAACTAAACTCACTCATTCCCACAACATGGAACAAGGTTTGCAGTGTTTAAAATTAACACTAGAACGTTAGAAATGGGCTTCACACACTGAACCTGTATGGGGGATCAAACCTTGACTTTCACGTTGAATTCAGAACAGTGTCTATGAAATGAGTGAATGAGTGAGTATTACTTTACTCCGCTTTTATAGTCCAGCAATATGACAGCGGGAGACACCTAAAATGAGTATTATCACAGCCGGGAGACACCTAAAATGGGCTTTGAACCCGTATCTCCAGGTGTAAGCCACTAGGCTACCCCACTGCCCCATCCATGAAATGAGCCATACTGCAGACTCTTCACATATACAACATGACTTCATCTTCTGCAAGGATGGATTTTGAACATGGCTGCCATGCCAGATTCATATCTCTCGATAACTTTACACTGAATGCATACACTGTTTTGTATATGAATATAAGTACACATCTCACCACAATCTCACAATTCTTCAATACATCATAGCCATCTTTCCCCATAGCGATGTACTCTTTGGTACACAGTGTGTACTCCTGAAAGAAAGACATCTTCATTACTGCACAGGTTACATGGCGCCATTAAAACTGACATATCATCTGTATGGCCTGTCAGGTTGCAACGTCACAGACTTTCTGTTTCACAAACTTGGTGAAGCCTACAGGAATGGATGAGGTGCTGGCAAATCTAGGATACATAGTTAGTAAGTCAGTTTTGGGATCTGAAGTTGTTGCATCTCGGTAGAGCTAAGGGGACAACTAATTACAGTAGATTGAGGTTCCTAGTGACCAAATAGAAGAAGTCACTGAAATACATTATTATTATTGTTGTTGTACATCCTTGTCTGAATGTAAAATAATCCTGCTGCATCTTCATCATAAGACTGCCATTCCTTACTCTATAAAGGTTCAGGTGTTTCCCCCTCACAAAATCCGCCCGACCGTGTCATCCTGGTGGTTTAAAATATGGTCATGGTAGACAAGTTCCTATATATCGAGTATCGAGGTCGTGATACTTTATCTCCCGATGCACATCGATCATCGTATCGGGATGTATCGTACACGCTTAAAATTGTTAATTTTCATTAGATATTCGGTTATGTCATAATTTCAAGTTATTAACATATATTTTTAAAAGAAAATTCTAAAGAAAGCATACCGTGATATGAATCGAATCGAACCTGGAGGACTCCAAGATATCATATCATCGATCGTGAAATTTCTGTATCATACACCTCTACTTGTTGGTCCCTGCCTGGTGCCTTGCATTAATGGGTCAACAAGGGGAATCTACTCGGTCAGTATAACCTGGAGGATGGACACATATCATGACCACAAGATCCTTACCTTATCCAGGTCATGGTATCTCAGTGGGCTAGCACTATAAAACCAGCTTAAGTCTGGGCTAGTACAAGCAGCCGCTAACCTGGAGGACTGACACATATCATGACCACAGAAATATTACCTTATCCAGGACGTCAGGTATTCCCCTCACCTCACCTAATCATAAAGGTTGAGGTGAATCTACCACGCAGGTGTTCCTGGTGGATTGACACATATCATGACCACAAGTTCCTTACCTTATCCAGGTCGAGGTATTCCCCTTGCACATTCATCACGTGGGAATCTACACGCTAACCTGGAGGACTGACACATATCATGACCACAAGTTCCTTACCATATCCAGGTCGAGGTATTCCCCTTGCACCTTCATCACGTGGGAATCTACACGCTAACCTGGAGGATTGACACATATCATGACCACAAGTTCCTTACCTTATCCAGGTCGAGGTATTCCCCTTGCACTTTCACCAAGCGGGAGTCGACACGCTCCCTGGAGGTTTGCTTGGGTCAAATCCATACACCATCCCCGACACCTGGGGGAAGCGACCCTCCAGTTTGGGGTATTTGGACACCCCATTCTCTAGAGCCTGATGGAGCTGGGATCCTGGTACAGGGAAGAAGATCACATAGAAATTATATACAACTAGTTACCATGTACCCAGTGATGAAAACTATTTAATCTAAAAATATTTAATCGCTTTTCGCCTCAAGTGAAATATCACATAATGCCATGTCTACTTTCAGTCTGCCTCACTGAGGTTATGCTTTCGGAGTGAGTGACTGAGTGAGTGAGCGAGTTTAGTTTTATGCCGCACTCAGCAATATTCCAACAATATGCTTTCAGAGACAGTTATGTAAGAAAACATATAATAAAAATAATGCGTCTTCTTATGTCAATTAACGTACTTAACACATCTCATGACCTCTTATTGTTGACATTTTCAATCCTTGACCTGCCACTGAGGAAAATATCATCTTTAACAGCATAAGATAAGCCAACAGTTCACTGTATAGCAGTGTTCACGAATAGCATTTGACCCTCTAACAAGAGCTGCGCAATATAACCGGTTTACCGGTATTTACCGCTTCAGACATGAAAACGATACGTATTGCGATACACTGATCGAAAACCGGTATTTTGACATGCATTTGGAAAACGTCGTAAAACTCGGAAATCTTCGGATATTTCTTTGTTTCATTGTGCCAAATATTATTCACATTTCTATTTTATCATGATTAAAATTTGTTATTAAAGCTTAATCAAGCATAGTGATTTTGTTGTGTTTTTGCTCTATAAATCAAGCAGTAACTCAATTATAAGTAGTTTTTTGTATAAAAATACTTCATGCAATATATTGCAATGCATATCGCAATACATGCTTTCGCATCGCAATATATCACAATATGAATATTCTCTGCAATACCCACCCTCCCTCTGACAAATCCGGCAGATTCACCAACGGTCCCATAGAAGTCTACAACCCGCCAGCCCCAGTGTCCGACTGTATATATCACAATGACTTCGACTGAAGTTGTTATATGTGACATGTGACACTTGTTTGCTGTTTTAAAATCTTATGTTCCTTAATAATTTCAATGCCAGTTATAAGAAATGTTAATCTGAAATCTGTTTAATTTTATTCTATGTGTCCTGTGAATTTTCAATAGGTCAGACAGACATCTGAAACTTAAAGGACCCAATGTCCTGTTACTTTGAAACACCATTCATGAACACCGATATAGTCCTTTCAATGTATTAATTCCTATTGCCAAACATCAAGGTAAAGGATAACTTTAATTGTAATAACCCTACATAGCCTTGTAGACATATTTACTTCACAGAAAGTTCGTTGTATATTCATGAGAGAATTACTGTATATTAATACTAGCAAATGATACTTAGTATTGACAGGCCTACCTATTACTAGGGGTGGGTATTGCAGAGAATTTTCATATTGCTATATATTCCGATGGGGAAGCATATATTGCGATATGTATTGCAATATATTGCAAGGATTATTTTTGTAACAAAAACTACTTATAATCGAGGTAATGCTTGATTATAAAGCAAAAACACAACAAAATCACTATGATTGATTAACCTTTTATAAAACTTTTAATCATGACAAAATAAAAATGTAAGTAACATTTGGCACTAATGAAACAGGGAAAAGAACAATTAAAAAAACCGGAAATATCCTAAGATTTCCGAGTGTTACGAAGTTTTCCCAATGCATGTCAAAATACCGGTTTTCGATCAGCGTATCGCAATACGTATCGTTTTCATGTCTGAACCGGTAAATACTGGCAAACCGGTTATATTGCGCAGCCCTACCCATTACCCAGAAATGGCTGTTATTACCGGCCATTCGTAATACGTCAATACAAGTGTTTATGTATTGATACTGATCTCAGTGCTGCTTCCTACACAAAGTGACAAGTCAATATCAAAATAGTTACAGGCAGCAGCATAGAATTAGCCTTATTCACAATCCAAATTGTAATATCGACACACACCTGTGACTTTAAGGACCACCAATGGATCAACGAGAGGCAATATGGTGAGAAGATCCCTGATCTTGAAGATTCCCTTTGGATGTATTTTGTCCGATCTGAACGTCCCTGAGTTGAGCAATGCTATTTCAGCCTTGGTTGCTGTCAGCATGATGTCCATCGCAAAATTACCTACATCAACACAAACAGCATGATGTCCATCACAAAATTACCTACATCAACACAAACAAAATCATGTACATTCCAATTAACATTAAATAATTACAGTAATCCAAAATTTTAACAATGTGTGATCATCATTATCATCAAAAATAGTGCTACAGCATTTTTGCTCCCCTGAAAGAGTAGTCAACATTTTACAGTGTCAGACAGCCCAAACAAAAGCTGTTCTCAACACTGATATTTTCCAAAACATTATGCAATAAAACTAAGGTTATAAAGAAATGCTCTAAAATTATTTTTCAGAAGGATTCAAATAATATTACATTTCAAAGTCATTTTGGAGCTGTACTTTCAAACACATTCAGCCATGACAGAAAAAGTTTTAAAAAATGTTAGTGCCTAAAGAACAGTCAGTGAGGGTGTGAGCACTGGTACCACGTCACCTCACAACTGAAGGTACACCAATGCCATAGAAACCATGCTGTTATGTATCAATGATTTAGTCACACCTATGAACAAACAATATGCTTATCCCATAGGGAATATCTGCTTTGGAAAGTAACAGCACATCAACATTTATTACCAATGTTATATCACTAGGCAGAACATAATGAACTAACTATGAAATATATAGAGGAGGTACTAAATACTAAATACTAAATCTTTCACAGGTTTACTAAAAATGGTATTTCACGGAAGTGAGTGTAGTATTCTGTTTATTACTCTCAACCATAATTTAAGAGAAACTGCCTACGTAGTGTGATGACTCTGAGCTTTCCGTGAGTCAAGCAAGGTCTAATACCATTGTGACAGAGGTATTAGCATTGTGACATCATAACTTAAAACATTATGACGTGTTATGTCTAGCAGTATTACACTAGTGTAATATTGCTGTAAAATATTACACTGCAGCAACTTCCACGGGCGAGTAATAAGAAGCAATTAAACTGCATTGTTTCAAAATCTGTCTGCCAAAGCATGGGTTTCTATCTCATAAGGTTTGCATGCAGAATTAAGTAGGGAGTGAGTGTGTTGGGTGAGCAACCGACAAACTGAGACAATGTGCTGACATGGGTATTATCAGGGCAAGACAGGGATTGGACTTAGTGAGTTGGATACACTGCCACTTTGACAGACATGTTCAGTTGTAGCACAGCTTGTTGGGATCAAAAACATTTACAACCTGAAATTATGTTTAAACTGGCATTTATCACTGTCTGTCCTGTTAATGTGGAGGTAACTACCACAGCTATACGTCATGCATGTTACATATCCTACTATCTTACTTCACACATAAATGTTGTTTTCTGATTGGCTGAGCGCCCTTGTATTATTTTCAATGTACTCCGCTTACAAGCAAGTAATATTTTCTGAGCCAAATGGGGAAATAAACAAACACAGAGGGTACATTAACCCATATCCCCTGAGGGACCAGTGAACAACTTGTAAAATTACACATTGAAACATGGGTATAGAGCTGACAACACCAGGCCCGATTTCTCGAAACAAACTTAAGTTTTTACTACAAATTTCAAACTGAGTTTGACAATTTGAAACAGCCGATTTTTTAGGTCAGTTGCATTTATTGAGTATAAGCAAGTATAAGTGTGCTGTCAAAGGTGCTGTTAGTCACAACCTTTCAAAACTCTCCATCAAAAACTAGTCAACTGTTACACCTAAAACACAGGGTGACCAAACACATCTCCTTGTACAACAGTTTAGCAACAGGCTTGTAGAAAAATACAAAATCATACCACTTCAATGAGTGTCCCCCAAATGTGTTGTGCTGGGAAACAAATGAACAAAATAAGCATAGTGAACTACTGTACTAAACCTTCAAGAAGTCTTCTTCAAAAAAATATTTTTCAACTGCAAATATGACAGGCCCTGTATATTTGATTAACATAAAAATACTACTACCCTCAGTTCTCAGTTGCAGCCATTACCATTCCAGCTATATCTCAGTGGCCAGAAATTTGTTTTGTTTCGTTTGTTATTTAATGCCACGCTTGGCAATGTTTAAGATGGCAGTCTGAAAATAATCAAGTCTGAACCTGACAATCCAGTGATTGACTTCATGGACATCAATTGAAGCAACTGGAATATGATGACATGCATCAACCAAGTCAGCGAGTCTTGGACCCATTTCACAAAGCTCTTGTAAGCCTAAGATCTCGTAACTTTTCTCGTAGCATTCGTACCTCCTATGTTACAGTACAGGAGGTACGAATGCTATGAGAAAAGATACGAGGTCTTAGGCTTACAAGAGCTTTGTGAAACGGGGCCCTGACCAATATTGTCATTTATCACCCCTTATGACAATTCACCTTGATGAAGACCAATGACTACATATTGTAAGCTGCTAAATGTAAATGATCAAGTTATGGCCCGGCAAACCAACAGGTGGCAGTAATGATAAATGATGTAGGGATAAGATGACACCCAACAGTCACGCCCTCATGTAAGTTGGCTATTACATCTAGAATACAAGCAGAGGGTGCTAAGGACCTATTCTGCCCCAATGGGGAAAACAGCTTGAAATAATAACTATCATAATCATATATCATATCATACAGCACTACTATCGGTCATTAGCTGCAGTAACTGTATCAATTTTAACACTGACTTCAGCACTGTCAATGACAAGTTATATACAGATGAATTATAGAGAGCAACTCTGGGATACGTGACATTTTCTATAGCAGTAAGATGTTTATGTTGATCAGCTGACACTTCTTTAACTTTGGTTTATATTATCCAAATATTGGAACATCATACTCAATAACAGTTCAACTTAAATAACGTACTGTGATATACATCACACAGACTTCAGTACACTGTTTTAGACCTGAAAGTCTGAAAGTCTAACTGTTTGGTAAGAGTGAGGGGAGATAACTCTATTCACCTAGATTTGTCTCCTGGGTTCGTATACAGCTGAATCTGCCATCCATCTCTACAGCCATCTCCCCCAGCACTTCGTCCATCTTGGATCCCACAGCCTCTGAAAACACACCAACTGTGAATGATTTTGGTACTACAACACTTTCAAAACTATTCAGCCATGTCACAGCAGGTGAAACAAAGCTTCACACACTGTACCCAGTCAGGGAATCGAACACAGGCCTGTAAAAATCCAGATTAGAAATGGCCTTTAACAACCCATGTGACTTATGGGATGGTCAGACTTACTGATCCCAATCACAGATCTCAAATTGATCGATGCTCATCAATCGCTGATTTTGAACTTGATTATTCACAGACCAATATCCTATATATTTTCTGTACAATATCAACTGACCCATTATGTTGTCCATGATCTCTTTCATACCTTCTGGAACAGGCTTATACAGTGTTTAAAACTCCAAAAATTCCAAGCCAGACAGCCGGACTGGTAACTTAAAAAAATTACCAGTCTGGATACAAACTTGCCTGTCCGGTTTTCAACAATGAAAAAAAATCAGGTTTCTGAATACTTACTGTTTGTAGGCATCGCAATGAACAACATAGCACTAACAGGCAATGCACCGAGTTTAAGTAAACTGAAAGTACATGTGTTGTGATTGGTTATTGTAAAATGAACTGTCCAATCATAAAAAGTTTAACATAATTATCATAATACCTTAAACACCTCAAACTGACGACAAGAGAACATGTCTGATATTATGAAATATTTAGGGGTAAAAATATCTACCAGACCACCGGACAGGCTACTTTTGAAGTTTGACCGTCCGAGATGAAAATAGACCGTTCTGGACGGTCGGACAAGGCGGGAATTTTAAACACTGGCTTATAAAAGAGACTAGATCAGTTCTGGATGTGAAACACTCATCAGAAGCAACTCAACTGTTTAATGTTAAAACATCTTTCATGTGAGGATGTTCAGGCTTGTCTAGATCCACTCTAATAGCCAAATTCTCATGAGAACTATCAACTCATTTAGTTTACAATCCACTGTCTCCTTAATGTGAGGATCTTCACACATCTCAAACTCATCTATTTTACTGTCCACAATCTCCTTCATGAGAGGATCTTCAGGTATACTAGAGTCTAGGTCCACTCTCTGGATGTCAAACTCACCTAGTTTACTGTCCACAATCTCCTTCATGAGAGGATCTTCAGGTATACTAGAGTCTAGGTCCACTCTCTGGATGTCAAACTCACCTAGTTTACTGTCCACAATCTCCTTCATGAGAGGATCTTCAGGTATACTAGAGTCTAGGTCCACTCTCTGAATGTCAAACTCACCTAGTTTACTGTCTACAATCTCCTTCATGAGAGGATCTTCAGGTATACTAGAGTCTAGGCCCACTCTCTGAATGTCAAACTCACCTAGTTTACTGTCCACAATCTCCTTCATGAGAGGATCTCCAGGTATACTAGAGTCTAGGTCCACTCTCTGGATGTCAAACTCACCTAGTTTACTGTCCACAATCTCCTTCATGAGAGGATCTTCAGGTATACTAGAGTCTAGGTCCACTCTCTGAATGTCAAACTCACCTAGTTTACTGTCTACAATCTCCTTCATGAGAGGATCTTCAGGTATACTAGAGTCCAGGTCCACTCTCTGAATGTCAAACTCACCTAGTTTACTGTCTACAATCTCCTTCATGAGAGGTTCTTCAGGTATACTAGAGTCTAGGTCCACTCTCTGAATGTCAAACTCACCTAGTTTACTGTCTACAATCTCCTTCATGAGAGGATCTTCAGGTATACTAGAGTCTAGGTCCACTCTCTGAATGTCAAACTCACCTAGTTTACTGTCTACAATCTCCTTCATGAGAGGATCTTCAGGTATGCTAGAGTCTAGGCCCACTCTCTGAATGTCAAACTCACCTAGTTTACTGTCCACAATCTCCTTCATGAGAGGATCTTCAGGTATACTAGGGTCTAGGTCCAGTCTCTGGATGTCAAACTCACCTAGTTTACTGTCCACAATCTCCTTCATGAGAGGATCTTCAGGTATACTAGAGTCTAGGTCCACTCTCTGGATGTCAAACTCACCTAGTTTACTGTCCACAATCTCCTTCATGAGAGGATCTTCAGGTATACTAGAGTCTAGGTCCACTCTCTGAATGTCAAACTCACCTAGTTTACTGTCCACAATCTCCTTCATGAGAGGATCTTCAGGTATACTAGAGTCTAGGTCCACTCTCTGAATGTCAAACTCACCTAGTTTACTGTCTACAATCTCCTTCATGAGAGGATCTTCAGGTATACTAGAGTCTAGGTCCACTCTCTGGATGTCAAACTCACCTAGTTTACTGTCCACAATCTCCTTCATGAGAGGATCTTCAGGTATACTAGAGTCTAGGTCCACTCTCTGAATGTCAAACTCACCTAGTTTACTGTCTACAATCTCCTTCATGAGAGGATCTTCAGGTATACTAGAGTCTAGGTCCACTCTCTGAATGTCAAACTCACCTAGTTTACTGTCTACAATCTCCTTCATGAGAGGATCTCCAGGTATACTAGAGTCTAGGTCCACTCTCTGAATGTCAAACTCACCTAGTTTACTGTCCACAATCTCCTTCATGAGAGGATCTTCAGGTATACTAGAGTCTAGGTCCACTCTCTGAATGTCAAACTCACCTAGTTTACTGTCCACAATCTCCTTCATGAGAGGATCTTCAGGTATACTAGAGTCTAGGTCCACTCTCTGGATGTCGAACTCCCACCCATCGCCAGTCCTCGTCACCTTGATGTTGCTGAGATTCCTGAAGTCAGTACCACTCTTCACAATGTATGTGTTGTTGACCTGTGCAACAGAGAGAGTCAGCTGTAAAGCATGCTGAAATAGGGATCGGTAGCAATATAAAACAGATGAAAACGAAATATTATTATAATCTATTTATATAGCGCTGAGTTCCAGCTAGGCTGCTCACAGGCGCTTTTTGTTTTTGCCCTCGATCATAGGATGTCAGTCTCAACGGCACTTTGTATTATCAATCTCAACTCCCTTGGGGAGCATACAACTCTTGCAGCCAATAGGTGCACCGAGTTAATGTGGCTTTCCCATCCTTACGAGGTACCCATTCACAGCTGTGTGGACTGGGACACATAGTCACAGTACTTTGTCCAAGTTTACTGCACGTTGCTGTACCCGCAACTAGGTGTTTGCACGTATTCATGTGGCCACCATCTGGTCATATACCAACGGATTCGTGGGTTCTCTTAAGTGCACAGGGTTGTGTACTGTGCACTAGGGGTTGTGACAACACTGAAAGAGTCTGCACACATAGCTGACTCCAAGGTTTTTACACCCGGTCACAGGTGGGCTCGATCCCGGCACCTCAAGCTCGCTGGATTACTAGCCTGGCGCCTTAGCCAGCTCGCCCACCAAGCCCCACAGGTCTATACACCACAATAAAGAAGTGCATATTGAAATCTGGATAAGATGGTATAATTTAAGAAATTGAATCAATAAGTGATAAATGTTCCATGCTAAAGGGACAACACGATGATACTTGTGTCTCAGGTACCATGCCCTTGAATGCAGCCATGTTGGTTGGTTGTTTTATGCCACAGTCAGCAATATTTCATACACACAATGGCAGTACAAACGAGGATCTAGATAAGAATTGATCTTCCAAACCCATGCTTGTCATGCGAGGCAAATATTGTCATTAGGTGATCAGGCCCCAATTTTTCAAAACAAACTTAAGTTTTTACTCAAATTTCAAACTGAGTTTGACAATTTGAAACAGCTTAATTTTTAACTCAACTGCATTTTTTAAATAAAAAAAGCCCAAACAACTTAAGTAATCTATCCATCAAACTCAAATTGTCTGCTAAATTTGAGTTTGATATTGATTTCAGTTTATTCTGGGAAATGCATTTACCTGCGCTTTTTCAAATTTGAGTAAAAACTCTAACTTAAGTAAAAACTCAGACTTAAGTTTGTTTTGAGAAATCGGGGTCAGGCTCTCTGATTTAGTCTGACAGATGTCATTGTATCCCAAATGCATAGAGTGATGCTCATGATGTCAATCACAGGATTATCTGGTTGAGACTTGATTATTTACTGTCATATAGAGGAATACTGCTGACTGCAGCATTAAACAACACACAAACATCAAGGCAACCTGAAAATTACCATGCCTGATTAAAAAACAGCGGTTAATATCATGAGCAAAATCTCACAGTATTGGGAAAAATGTCTCCCAATCAACTAAGTCATGGAGTCGGACCACTGAAATTGGCCACATCTTGTGAAAACATAGTGTACTGGGCCACCTTTCTCACATTATCTCCACAAGGCTGGCTCAGTATGGTTTTATGCCGTTTTTAGCAATATTCCAGCAATATCACGGCAGGGGACACCAGAAATAGGCTTAACAAGTTGTACCCATGTGGGGAATCGAACCCGGGCCTTCGACGTGACGAGCGAACGCTTTAACCACTAGGCTACCCCACCGCCCATCTCCACAAGGATGCAAAGCAATGAAGAGTGTTTACCTTCTCTAGTCCGTAGTCGTGGTCATGGCCTCCCAAGATGATGTCAATCTCCGGAACCATTTCTGCCAGCCGACGGTCATTTGGCCATCGCATGTGGGTCAGTGCTATTACTATTTCACAGCCTTGCTGGAAATATAATTGACGCACATTAATCTACAACATACTAAACCTACAAGCACTCTATATGAATTTGACATAATTGATTACACTTGCAAACTTCAGCTAGGTCTAATGTCACTTTTGGTTACGAAGTTGCTGACATACATTCCTCACTGTGAGGCTGATGCCTTCCATAGTTCGACACTCAGCCCTGACAAACTTTTAGGGGAAACATCTGACCTATCCTAGCTGATAGGGCTGCACAGTATAACCGGTTCAGACATGAAAACAATACGTATTGCGATACGCTGATCGAAAACTAGTATTTTGACATGAATTCGGAAAACAAGTTAATCAGTAACACTCAACTCGAAATCTTCTGGGGAGAATACTTCCGATTTTCACACCTGAAGTCAAGTTAATCAGGAACCATTCTCAACTCTCATAATATCTCTTTCACGCTGGGGAGACAACCAGCATTTTCCCCGTATGGAGATGCCTCTCCAAGTATGCATCACTGGTAAGTAATATGTATGTGCTGACTGCCCCAAAGAAATATCTCATACATCTAATGACACTTGTATGATTGAGACTTGGAGGGTTATGAGGCCTTGAATTTTACTTGAAAGTATAATTCTTTACAATGGGGAGAGTTCTACGGATATACAACTTACAGAAGGATTTGGGGACTCTTCCATAGAAAGTTATGACAGGTGAAGTTTCTAACATGTCCATCAGTAATAAGGCTTCTAATTTCTAAGTTTGAGTAAAGCATTCAAACCAGCTAAGGAAGATAATGAAGGTTGTGTTCTGTGTCGGTTTTCCACGTAAACAAGTGAACCTGAATCTGAAAAGTAACATCTGTTGGCTCTGGAACCTATACATCCTCCATATTGACTGCAAGGTCAAAGTAAAAGGTTGGGTTTTCCAAGGGATATAACTGCTCTGTGACCAGTACCCACCTCTTTCTTGAGGAGGTTGGCTAGCCTCTGACCCTCGGTGACGAAGTCTAGGTATGTTACATCCTCGGGGTCGAGAGTGGCCAGCGTCTCTATCCACTCCTCTTCCACCAAACCAACAAAGCCAATCTGGAAAACAGGTCAGAGTTATGTCCCTTCATAATCATCAGCTAATAACCAACTCTCAAAATACAAGTAAAGTGGGGCTGTGGGGTAGTCTTGTGGTTAAAGTATTTGCTCGTCACGCCAAAGTCCCGGGTTCCCATTTCTGGAGTCTGCCTTCATGATTTTGCTGGAATATTGCTAAAAGCTTCGTAAAACCAAACTCACTCACTCACTCTTATGATAAGCATGGGTAAATCGGATCTTTGCAGGTTAAGTACACCTGGGGACTAAGGAAACGAATAAAGGTACTTTTAGGTCAAATATAACATTACCTTTATATCATTCCACACCAAGCTGTGCGCTATTTCTCCCAAAGCCAGTGGTTCCTCTGCCAGATTGTCTTTGACATTGCTAAGTAACCATGGAAATGATGATTGCTCAGCAAAATCTTCTAAATGGTCAACACCAAAATCTGAAACAAATGTGATCAGTTTCAGAAAGGGCCAGCATGAGAATGTATTGTTTTCGTTTATACTAATGTTACAATTTTATACACTGAATCAGAAACCCAAAAAAATATCCAGATATGTGGTTACTTTGCCTAAAAGTATAAAAATATATATTTCTTCACCAAGAGTCAGTATCATCGAAATGTTTCCTGTGTCACGTTGTTGTCACAGTATCAAGAAAAATGTATTTATGGACATCACATTAGATGTCATAAATCAAACATAACCAGGTTAGAGATTTTAACATAACAAGTAATCACAGTGAGGCTTCAGATGAAATCCCCAGAGTCGGTTTGATGCCAACCTGGATGGTGAACCATGACAAATCTGTGGTTCTTTCAGACAGGGGTGGAAAAAGTGTACTCCTGTACAGTTGCACATGTAAAATCACTTGCCCTGATAATTTTTCCACTATACCGGCCAATTTTCTTGTTGATTTCTTAAATAAACAACATAATTAACATTGGAAAGTCAACTGGACACTGGTACAGCGTGATATACAAATTTGCTTGCCCGACAGAAACAAAAACACTGGACTGGGACGTCGGGCAATGGGCTATTTCCACCCCTGTCAGACAAGGGGATTAACTCCATACAGCTAACTTCAACACCTCAGTCACAGGACCTCTTGCATGGCAACACATAGAATCATTGATAAGTGTGTTAGGTTTAATGCTGCATCAAACTGTATTCCATTTACATCACTGCATGTCAGCCTAATGTGGAACAAAAACCTGAAGTGATTCTGATCTCAAGCATTTACCATTTGGTAAAACACATGGGCATGGCGCTGACAAACCTAGAAACATAATCATGATCAAAGGTTTCTGCCATGCCCAAGGCAGTTAATTGGCAGAGCAAACCATCTTAAGACAGGTAGGCACCTGTGACTCATCATGGATTAGATATGAAGTGTGAACTTCAAAAGTAATTTTGGTTTTAATGACTGCATCAATTCTTCTTTTTTTTTATTCCCACTTTTTGGTTACATTTCCATCCATCCATAACAACAATACATACACGTACATATATATGTACATACAGATGTACACAGGATTGTGGTTCATTTAAATGTCATATCTAAGACAATACACTGGATTGCTGAAAGGTATATGTAGAGATGACCAAAGGTGTCATAGATGTACACAGGGCTGTGATCATTTTAATGTCATATTAAGACATTACACAGGGTTGCTGAAAAGCACTGCATCAACTCTTGTTAAGAGTTACAACTGATCTAACCTGAGCCCATTATTAAAGACGATCACAAAGGAAAACCTACCAAAGTCATGGTTACCATAGACAGCACAGTTGACGCCCACACCATTGAGGACTGGCAGCATCTGTTCTCCTTTCAAGAAGATGCTCACTGCAACACAACCAGTATTCTTCTGTGAGAGCATGAATATAATCATAATACAACATATAATTCTAATACCTTCTATTGTGTTAAATACCCTGGACCTATTTGCTGCATATCGTCATTTTGTGTTCAGCTGGTGTGACACAATACAATCATCCCTTGCCATAACGCGGATCTTGGGGTCCATGGATGACCCCCCGCATTATGAAACACTATTAAATCATCATAAAAATCTTCTGATTTAAATAAATTTACTGATGGGATTTGTATGCTCCATTTAGAAATTACACCTGTACCATAAACATCAGAACAATCATTTTGAAAAGTTGTGGACTTGAAGATCTTAAGCAAGAGAAGTTACTTCTGTTGATCATATCAAGTGAATTCGTTGCTAAAATGGGGTATATATTATTGTAAGATTAAAATCATGAGAAATAATATAGTCCCATTGTGTGAGTGTTTTGGCATCATTACACATTGTCACTTACTGAGCGATGGGTTGAGCACATCACCACTGAAGAGGACTAAAGGATGCTGTTCTTTACACATGGCCACATATCCTGCAAAACGAGCAGCTCCCCCTAGTGGCTCCTCAGACTGTGGCTCTATGTTGTACACATCATTGAAATGGATAATTGTGAAAGACATGTTGGGTCTAGTGCATATAATGCTTGGTTCTTCAATATGATCTGAAACAGAAATGAATCAAATGTTTGTACAAGTGAAAATGTTCTATGACTTAAGAAATGTTTTTTTGTGTGATATGTTGAAACACATGTTGGCTAGTTGAGCAAGGAACTGATTGTAGAGATTAAGAAAGGTTCCAGAAGATGTCATAGCATGATCCCATTGCAGTTATGTTAATGTTGTTACGATATCTTCAGTTCTTTATCTGATGTGTCAGTTTGTATTCATGCAGATTTTATATTGGCACTTTCGTCATCTCTAGTTCTATTTGTATCTTGATATTTTCATATCACTTTGTCGACAACAACATGAATTATCACCACCAACCTGTGATGTGAGATTTTAATATTTTGATGACAGCAAGACTTAACAGGATACAAAATTACCTGTATCATACTTACACTATGTACAAGAACTATTTTTCAAATGACCTGTAGGTACAACAACTATTTTAACCTTTTGAATATAAGTATTTCTAGCCACAGACCGATATCATCTCTCTTTCTAACAGCCACTGATTTCATGCATCATAATCATTCTTACGAATTCCATTGGTGTTGTCAGAGGGGAGTGGTACGTATCATTGAATCAGAGACCATATACCCGTATATGGTCTCTGATTGAATCAGTTCTTTTTCTTTTAAAATGAGAATGATAAATGACCAAAAGCGTCAAAACGTACTTTTTCACAATGTAACTTTAGAACAATTTCTTAATAGCAATTATAACTGTATATCACCAGAATCATCTGAAAAGTATCCTAACGGTTCCTGCTTGGAGGCTAGATATCGGAGTGTCTCTAAGTAATGTTTCTAACAGGATTGTAATTTATGAGTTTACATAATTACTTTTTGAAACTTAGCTACTCGAACGTTCCCGGTGTAAGTATACGGCCATATTCTTCTTAAATTGCCGTATGTTTTATTTCTCAAAACAGGCTTATGTCTGCCATGCTTATCGAACAGTACAAAAACTTTGTGCAACTCATTCCACTTTTTGAAGTAACCGGGATAGTTGCGCCCCCTGTCGGTTATCCCAACTTCCTTTTCCGGTCTAGAACCGTAGCGAGTCAGGTGCGTGTTATATACCTGAACAAAATCTTGTTGAAACGAAAACATCATAGACATCTTACTACAATTAACACCTCATACATGTATAGAAATACAACCACAATTAATCTGTTGTGATATTTACACGGTATCAAACATATTAATAGCTAAAATCGATCTTGAACTGATGTGACTCCACGATATTTATGTTTATGCCTTCGTGTGAAGATGTGGAATTATTCTTGTTAACGGCAATATATTTCCATTAGTGATACTTTTGTGCATATTCCGTTTTGGTTTAGGTGGATCTGTGAAATGTGACCCACATAGTCTCTCTCCAAAATTGCGTATGAATAGAATATACTCTGCTGTTTTGACGTCCATGTGTAAACGAGATCATTTTCTGTGTACTAACTAACTACATCAGTAACCTCGAATACACTAAATACGTGGCCTACTATTTTATTTTCTAAGAATGCAACTTTTTGTCGATAAAAACCATCACATCTGATGATCAGGCCTGTGTGTTAAATTTTCAAACAATCATACCAGATAATCACACTCATTAATTTATCAATGGAGTACTCTAGTCTAAACATCCATAGACAGTGGCTGCTGTTAGCATGGTTAGGTTTTCATGATTATATTCATTTTTGTTTTCATGTAATTTACCAATTGTCAAATATTTTTCTCACCAATTTAAGTTTTCGCAACATGAAATCACAACTGATCTTTTTTTTTATTTTGTTCGACCACTGTTACAATATGGCAACTGAACATGATGAGTCTAATATCATTAAACAAATAAAGAATATAATTCACACAAATGGTCAATTAAGTGGTTTATTTTTAATAAGGATTTGATCAATGTTACCTGTAGTAGTTGCAATATTGCACTGTCAGGTGCAGAAGGAAAACATTAGCTAAGTCAGACTCAGACTACCTTATTCAATACTACAGGCCTTATGACCTAAGGTACAGTTACAGCAGAATATTATATTTTGTCACGTGGATGTGATATAATGAACAAAACTTATAATTAAGAACGGCGTGCATTAAATACATGCTTCAAATATAACGATAGTAATTTGATTGTTTGAGGATTTTGTAAAGAAATAAGTTTGATGAAGTTACATTTGTTTGGCACAACAGAAGTTAACCAAGGTAAAGCTAAGTCGGAACTTCTGAATGTCAGTTTATGATCAGATATATATTCTGTACAGTGAACATCACATCTGTTAAAGTAATTATCAGAATGTTGTGGTTTGGTGTAAATAATACTGTCAGTGGACGTGTTTGAGTACATGTCTGTATGATACTGTAAACATTCTTTTTTTTTCGCTTTGTGCAGATTTCGCGGAATTGACAGTTTAGACTACATTGCGCGGTCAATTACTCGCGCAATCAGTAATTGCCGGAACTGCCAGCTGTCTCTTAGGCAGCCACTAATAGCAGTGAAAACAACCAAAGTGTCTTAACCTGTCAGGCGGCGTGTATTGCTTACTCACAGGAAATCCCTACCTGCACGATATATACAGTAATATGTTTACTCACAGAAGTATTAAGTACTTTGGAAGTGAGATATCGTGATGCAAATATAAAGAGATGAAAAACACATCAGACTTATGTTCCGAATTCTGACAATCTGACGATGGCATTGCGAAATTGACTATCAGGAAAATGAACTTCTACCGCATATATGAAGCTTTTTGTGATTTCATTTCGTGATATGCAGGAATAAATATAAATAAAATCTTAATAAATAAATGAATTACTGCTGTTATTTCTATCAGAGTCATTGCATGGTAATCCGTTTTGTATCAAACCATCTGTCACTACAATTGGGCAAAATAGAACATGTGAGGACATTATTTGGGAAATCCATTACAGCGACAGTTAAGTATGATTCTTTATGCTACTATCAGTCGTCATTTTAAGATTCCCGTAGATTTCTGTCTTCAAACTTGATGTGTTATGGTAAAAACTCAGAGGCGAGCGTGGGTTGATTCGCTGTGTATAAATTTTGGCGGTAAAATATTTTGCGCGAAAATAAAACCTGCGCGATATATAATGTTTACAGTAAATGGCATGATATGCATACTTCACATCTGTCAGAAAGGTAGAATCCATTTGTCAGTCCAAATAGATTTTCATTAGTTGCAAACTAGTGGCCGTCTCTAACTCTGATAGTGATTTGTGACAATAGAAATCGTTATTATGATCTTTATGAATACGAAAGGTTTGAAAATAAATAACAAATAAAATATGTTTCTTTCACAGCAAACATGGCTCCTAAAGGGAATAACATGGTGCCCAATGGGCACTTCCACAAAGATTGGCAGCGCCGTGTTAGGACATGGTTCAACCAGCCAATGAGAAAACAGAGGAGACAGGATACACGTGTACAGAAAGCTCGTGCCATCGCCCCTCGCCCTGTCAAAGGTTATTTGCGCCCCATTGCACGATGCCAAACCTTCAAATACAACACTAAAATCAGAGCTGGTCGTGGATTTACTCTTGAAGAACTGAAGGTAACCTGTCCTTTTAACAATGTGGGCTGTTGTGGGGATTCGGGGCGGTGGGGTAGCCTAATGGTTAAAGTGTTGGCTCGTCACGCCGAAGACACGGGTTCGAATCCCCACATGGGTACAATGTGTGAAGCCCATTTCTGGTGTCCCCTGCCGTGATGTTGCTGAAATACTGCTAAAAGCGGCATAAAACCAAACTCCGGCATCTCGATCGACTACCGTCGACGCAACAAGACCGTGGAATCTCTGCAGCAGAATGTGCAGCGTCTGAAGGAGTACAACTCCAAACTCATCCTCTTCCCACGCAAGGAGAGCAAACCCAAGAAGGGAGATGCCACGGTCAGTATAGAAATAGTGTGTTTTGTTTTTATAATGCTGCACTCAACAATTGCCCTGCTCCATGGTGCCAGCCTGAAGAAAACCTTATTGGATAGGATAATGCAGTGACTGACATGAATATCAATCTTGGCAGTTGAGATGATGACTTGTATTAACCAAGTCACTGAGTCTGACCTTTTAATCCTGTTAATCCCTTATTGAGATTAACGTCGTAGGGTAAAGAGCAGTTCCAACTTCTAACCAAGGTGCAGTGTGGAAGTACAATAATGGTGAAATTTCTTTTGCCTTGTCATAAGACTGTACATACTGGTCAACCTACTTTGGGCATTGAGGGTTAGGATTGGTCATGAGCCATTTATGCTTATTGTAAGAGATGACTAAATGGATATGTTGGAAGACATTTATGCGTGAGTGACTAAATGGGTTGGAAGAAGTGGTGGGTTAGGATTGGCCATGAGCCATTTATGCTTATTGTAAGAGATGACTAAATGGATATGTTGGAAGACGTGGGTTAGGATTGGCCATGAGCCATTTACCGTATATGACCGTCTATAAGCGGAATTTTGAGGACCAAAAAAAGCAGTCTGTAGAAGGGGGTCGTCTTATCCATGGGTTACGCTTTCGTCAAACTTTTTTCCAGGGGTAAGAAAACAACATCGTATCACTTCGCGTGAACAAACAACAGAAGATGGCTTTGTCAGTAGAGACGTCAAATTTGCAATTAAACATCACTAGACAAGATTATTTACCTTTTAAGTTCTAAGTTGTTTTTGCTGGGCATTGTATTATTTGCAGGGATTAAGATTACCGTGGTGTATCTGGAGGCGGAAATAGCAATCGGCTGTGCACACGTTTCCGGCGATCAAGTTCAAACATGCACAGATAATATTACGAGACCTAATTCTGACGCAGCAGTCATCAGTAAAATATAATACAGAATACTATTATTTAACCAAAAGAAATATATCCTAGCATTGTGTAATTTTAGTTAGTTTTTGCTCTATAAATTAATTAAGATTAAGATTACTCTGTGTATTTGAGCCGTAAATAGCAATCAGCTTTGCACCACGTTTCCCAGCGATCAAGTTCAAACATGCACAATAATTTAGCGGGATCGAATTCTGGCCTTGATGTCGTCAGTAAAATATAATACAGAGTACTATTATTTAACCCAAAGAAATATAACCTAGCATTGTGTAATTTTAATTAGTTTTATGTAAAATATATATAATCAACACTAAGGTTATACGGACCCTCATGAACGTGGTAAGCAGAAGTTGTACGCACATGGAATGGGGTAAAATACGGAAGCCATTTAAGTTCACACATTTTTACCGATGTTACTGTAAACTAGCAGTCAATGGAAAACGAGGCGGTAATCAGTTCGTGATTGTTGAATGGGGTAAAATAAACAAGCCAGTTTGTTGTTACAATAAATATGATATTTAGAGAAGCAAAATATATTATGCATTTTCTGTCAACTACACTTCGTTTCGATCCGTGAGTAGACACAATATATATTATTGTGAATTTTTTGAATAATGTGGAGCAAAGTTATAATTATTGCTAACTGCCAGTTGTCTGTGGTCTGTGTTTGCCACAATTAGGACCCCATCGCGGGGGATCGACTTATGCATGAAAAATACCATTTTGACACTGATTTTAAGGGTCAAGTTTGGGGGTCTTCTTATCCATGGGGTGTCGTCTTATAGACGGTCATATACGGTATGCTTATTGTAAGAGATGACTAAATGGATATGTTGGAAGACGTGGTGGGTTAGGATTGGCCATGAGCCAATTATGCTTATTGTAAGAGATGACTAAATGGTTATGTTGGAAGACGTGGTGGGTTAGGATTGGCCATGAGCCATTTATGCTTATTGTAAGAGATGACTAAATGGTTATGTTGGAAGACATGGTGGGTTAGGATTGGCCATGAGCCATTTATGCTTATTGTAAGAGATGACTAAATGGATATGTTGGAAGACGTGGTGGGTTAGGATTGGCCATGAGCCATTTATGCTTATTGTAAGAGATGACTAAATGGTTATGTTAGAAGACGTGGTGGGTTAGGATTGGCCGTTAGGATTGGCCATGAGCCATTTATACTTATTGTAAGAGATGACTAAATGGTTATGTTAGAAGACGTGGTGGGTTAGGATTGGCCATGAGCCATTTATGCTTATTGTAAGAGATGACTAAGTGGATATGTTGGAAGACGTGGTGGGTTAGCAAGCTCAATATGTACACAGTTGTTTGGTGGAGAAAGAGTGTCCCTGTCACATTTTTTTTATTTCCTTACCCTCTTAAGTGTTGAGAGACCATTTTTATGCAGTCATAGATAAGGTATATGTCTGTCCTAAATTTTGAATCTGTTTGATTACAATGGTTTAAGAGGAGGGTGGAGTAGCCTAGTGGTTAAAAGGTTCACTTATCACGTCTGGTTTGATTCCTCACATGGGTTCAGTGTGTAAAGCCAACATCTGGTGTCCTCTGCTGTGATTTTGTGTGTGAATATTGCTAAAAATGCCTTAAAGGGGTTCACTTGTGCCGAGGACTAGGCTTTAATTCCCAGTGTGGGTGCTGTGGGTGAAGCCCATTTCTGCAGTCCTCTGCAGTGATATATCTGGAATATTACTAAAAGCAGTGTTAAACTGTACTCATACAACGGTTGCTCCCTCCCCCCATCCCTCCCCTATGTAACTTCATGTGTATCCACATATGCACCAAAATACTAGGAGACTATTCATGTTTGGTTCTTGTTAGTGAATGAGTTGATGTTTGTGTTTCAGGCTGAACAGATCAAGACAGCCACCCAACTCAAGGGAGACATCATGCCCATCAGACAGGTGTTCAGGAGCGAGAAGGCTCGCAAGATCAGCAAGAGAGAGAAGAGATTCAGTCCCTTCGCTGCTCTGCGTAGTGCTCGCGTTAACGCCAGGCTGTTTGGAATACGCGAAAAGAAGAAGCGTGAAGCTGCTGAGAAGGAAAAGTAAACCAAACTGTAAAAAGCTGTGGACATTAAAAAAAAGGAAAAATATTGTGTTTTTCTCTTTGATCCCTGTGGGGAATTTGAACAGGTATATCACTCCAGTGCCAAGAGCTTCCTGGAAGACAAATGATTAATGGTGAGGCTGTCAGTGTCTCCTCTTGCTCTGCGACAGGTTTTTATCCTACACATCTTCTATGGGGTAACCTTGTGGTAAAATTGTTTGCTCATCATGCTGAAGAGTTGATTGAATTCCAGACTCATGTTCAATGTGTGTAGCACGTTTTTGGTGATCTCTGCCAGATATAGCTGGAATATTGCTAATAGTGCCATAAAACCTTAATTCTGTCCCTATCAGATTTGCCTGGACCACACTCCCTTGTTTACAGGCTCTTGGTGCTGCAGGAATACTTCTTACTAAGAAGGGCGGTGGGTTAGCCTAGTGGTTAAAGCACATCAATGATTGTTCAATCCCCACATGGGTACATGTGTGAAGCCCATTTCTGGTGTCCCCGACGTGATGTTGCTGGAATATTGCTAAAAGTTTTAAAACAGCAGTCAGTCAGTTTCTTAGAAGAAAAAATGAATGATTCAGTATTGATTAACAGTTGCACAACATTACTGGAACAAATGCATGCTCCATTTGTCCAAAAGACCATTAGGGGCTAAATAATCATCAGTATCTGATTTGTTCAGTCCCTCCTAAAAGGAGATTTTCTGTGGTATTAAGATGAATTGTCATATATATCTGATTAAGTTTTAAGCGTTACAAGCCCCTTGTGCCTAAGACCAGGGCCTCCTTTCACAAAGCTCTAGGGTGATCGCAAGTCACTAAAGGTAACCTTTAGTGCAATGTTAAAGAGTGGGTGTTAAAGTTAACCTTAGTAAAGGTTGCTTCGTGAAAGAAGCCCGTGAAATCGATCGGCAGGAGTTATCGTTATTTTAGTGAACAGATTCGACACACTATCTATGAGCAGTGGGAAGAATTTATACGGGGCAATTGGTTCAGTAAAAGAATATGCTATGAAAATGTAGATTGTATAAAAAAAATTTCCGATGAGCGACTATTGTTCTCCACAATTAATATTGCAAGATCATACTGAATGGTGACTTATTTATCCGGCAGTTTGGCCATGGGTGGAATCGCCACCATGGCTATGTGAAAGTTTTCATGCACTCAAAGTTGATCTTTGGATATTTTCATGTCTATAATTCAGTAAAATAGGTCGACTACCTGTGCACTTCTCTCTTGCTTACTTATTGCTTACGTGAGGTGAGGTCAGGTGAAATTGGGTTTAACGTCGTGCTTGAGAATATTTCGCTCATATGACGACGTGCATGCGTGTGTATGGCTGCATGTACTAGCCCAGACTGAAGCTGTTTTTTTCGTGCTAGCCCACTGAGATACCATGCGGCAGTGAAGCATGAATACCCTACTCAGACACATTATACTGACTCCGAGCCGACCAGTCCGTGTACCCATTGATGCCGAGCGCCAGGCAGGGACCAACAAGTGCCATATTTTAACGTCTTTTGATATGACGCGGTCGGGGATCGAACCCTCGGCCTTCCGCTCTCCGGGCGGACGCTCTAACCACTACACCACGGAGGCGGTCTATTGCTTACGTGATTAAGGGAAACAAAATGATTAGCGGTTGATTACAAGATCTTCATACAGATCATGGGGACGTGTGCACTAGAAAAACACATAATATCGATATGTTTATCTATAAGAAAACATGTACACTCCATAGTTTGTTTCTTTGTCTGTTGTCAGTAAATAATCGAGTCTGGCCAGACAATCCAGTGATCGACGCAAATGGGATACGATGACGTGTCAACCGATTCAGCGAGCCTCACGGGTACGGGTTATACATGTATATTCAATCCTAAAATTAAAGGAAATCAGCAAATGGACTCACGGGCTATGTGGAACTGACTTGTCCGAGATACTAGAGCTGACAGACAGTACACGTATTGATGTCGACAGTGCAGCAGCTGCAGATATGGATGCACAAACACTGATGTCTTCAGGTATGCATGAGATATACATAAATGATAGAAAACAAAGTCATGATGTGGTATTCGTCTGATATAATTCAGACAAGCGCATGGTCATACTTTGTCATACATTGCAATCACCTTTCCACCAAGTGACACACTGTAAGACGCCGATCAGACAGACAGTAAGATGTTGTAGTAACTTTCGACCAACCAGTGACACACTGTAAGACGCCGATCAGACAGACAGTAAAACGTTACAATCACCTCTCGACCAACCAGTGACACACTGTAAGACGCCGATCAGAAAGACAGTAAAACGTTTGTAATAACTTTCGACCAACCAGTGACACACTGTAAGACGCCGATCAGAAAGACAGTGAAACGTTCCAAATACTTTCCACCAACCAGTTACACACTGTAAGACACCGATCAGACAGACAGTAAGACGTTGTAATAACTTTCGACCAACCAGTGACACACTGTAAGACGCCGATCAGACAGACAGTAAGACGCTGTAATAACTTTCCACCAACCAGTTACACACTGTAAGACGCCGATCAGACAGACAGTAAGACGTTGTAATCACCTTTCTCGACCAACCAGTTAAACACTTCGAGACGCCGATCACACAGACAGTAAGACGTTACAATCACCTCTCGACCAACCAGTGACACACTGTAAGACGCCGATCAGAAAGACAGTGAAACGTTCCAAATACTTTCCACCAACCAGTTACACACTGTAAGACACCGATCAGACAGACAGTAAGACGTTGTAATAACTTTTGACCAGCCAGTTACACACTGTAAGACGCCGATGAGACAGACAGTAAGACGTTGGAATAACTTTCGACCAGCCAGTGACACACTGTAAGACGCCGATCAGACAGACAGTAAGACGTTGTTATAACTTTCGACCAACCAGTGACACACTGTAAGACGCCGATCAGACAGACAGTAAAACGCTGTAATAACTTTCCACCAACCAGTGACACACTGTAAGACGCCGATCAGAAAGACAGTGAAACGTTCCAAATACTTTTGACCAGCCAGTGACACACTGTAAGACGCCGATCAGACAGACAGTAAGACGTTGTAATAACTTTCGACCAACCAGTGACACACTGTAAGACGTCGATCAGAAAGACAGTGAAACGTTCCAAATATACTGAGTCAAAAAAGAAACTTCACAAAATGTAATTTGAAAAATAATGAATAATTTGTCTCTGATGATACATCTATGTATCCGAAATGGGATCCCTATCTTTCGACTCTAGAAAAACGTTGGCAAAACCCACTCAAACCATCCATTCGTCGTGCAAATGACGTTAGTGCCAAATCAGGTTTTGCACGTGCAGTCGATCACGTGATCTTCACATCGAAGTTTTCTTCATATGCACGTGTTTGCATTGGCCTGAAGAATTGAAAAAACACTTTTAAACCACAGTTCTAACGGTACTTGAAATGCCACGATTGTCAAATGTGCAACGTGAACGTGCCGTTGGCATGTTGCAAGCGGGAAGATCAGTTATTGACGTCGCAAGAGCAATGGGATGCAGCCGTCGTACTGTGTATGACTTGCGAGGTCGTCTACAACAAACTGGCACCACTTCTGATCGCCCAAGGTCGGGTCGTCCCCGTGTGACGTCACGAGCAGAAGACTGTCAAATCGTCCTGTCACCTACGTGACAGATTTCTGCCGGCTACACGAACCAGGGCTGGGATGTTTAGAGGTCGACTGTCCTCACAGAGCATTCGAAATCGGTTGCGGGCTGCCAATCTCCATTCTCGACGTCCATATCGTGGGCCAATATTGACGCCGTTTCATCAACGTCAACGTCTGCTGTGGGCCCAACGTCACCTCCGATGGACCCAGAGAGACTGGAATCGAGTCGTCTTTAGCGATGAATCCAGGTTTACCCTCAGATTCGCGGACGGCAGGCATAGAGTCTGGAGACGACGTCGTGAACGCTATGCCCAATGTTGTGTACAAGAAGTCGACAGATTCGGGGGCGGAAGTTGCATGGTGTGGGGTGCTTTCTGTGGGAACAACCGTTCCCGACTTCTGTTCATCCGTGGAAACCTCACAGCTGCTGCTTACCGCGACCAGGTGCTCACCCCTGAACTCGTTCCTTTCATGGCGGCTCATGGCCCAGGTCTACAGTTCCAGCATGATAATGCTCGGCTGCATACCGCGATGTTGACACGAAATTTCCTTCAAAGCGCTGGAATCAACGTCATGGACTGGCCATCGAGGTCCCCTGACCTTAATCCAACAGAGCACGTTTGGGATGCACTTGGGAGAAGGCTTCGTGGTCTTAGGAACCAACCTCAGAATTTGCAGGAACTTGGCGCTGCCTTGCAAGAGCAATGGCGCAGAATCCCCAACCACGTGTTCACAAGCATCAGGCAGTCGATGAGGAGACAGTGTTTGGCAGTGGTGAATGCGCGGGGCGGCCATACGATATTGAACTGAGAAATATAACAATATAACCATCTTAGCATCTCTTGTTCTTTTATAGTGCCCTGAAGAAAGAATGTGAAGTTTCTTTTTTGACTCAGTACTTTCGACCAGCCAGTTACACACTGTGAGACGCCGATCAGACAAACAGTAAGACGTTCCAAACATCTTTTGACCTGCAGCCAGTTACGCACTGTAAGACACTGATCAGACAGACCGTAAAACGCCTATCAGACAGACAGTTAAATGTTCCAAACATCTTCCGACCAGCCAGTGACACACTGTAAAACGTGAAGAGTGAGTAAGTTTAGATTAACGCCGCTTTTAGCAATATTTCAGCAATATCGCGACAGGGGACACCACAAATGGGATTCACACATTGTACCCATGTGGGGCACGAACCTCGGTCTTCGGCGTGACGAGCGAACGCTTTGACCTTTGGGCTACCCCGCCGCCCTAACTCGACATAGAAACCAACTTTGATTATTCGCTGAAACACTATCAATCTGCACAGATGGCAGATGCACTACGTCCACGTGTCCTTCCATAACGTCATTTTAATCAGAGGCGTTATTGTCGGAGGGAAA